AAGTCATTGTTTTCCTCTGTTTCTGTCTTTTGCATTGTTTGTCACGAGGAGGAAAATCATATAAGATTGTCTTTCCATTTCGCTTTGGGTCTTGAGAGCTTGGCTTGCAACCAGTGAGAGGATACTCTTCTTGGTCTCAACAGCTTGTGGGGAGGGGGTGTGTAGGTTGTCAGATATGCATCTGGTGGCACCTGTCAGGCTAGGAAACCCGACACACAAAAGCACATAAGTAACATTGTCCATCTGACCATACCAGCTCTCATGGGAGTTTGTATCAATGAGAGGTCTCAGTCCATAATTTCATTTCCTTGTCATTCAGGGAGAAGTCTCATCCCAGTATAGCCTATTCAGTGGGACAGGTTAGCAGGTCTATGACTGAAGGTGTCACCCTTTTGTGGAGGACCAGAGTTTCCTTACTGCTTGTGACAGTGAAGGTCTTTGATTTCTTAAGCTGTCTTTGGGAGTAACTCTTGATCCTGGGGCAGAGGGAAGGGGGGTTGTCTCTGCATCTTTTTCAGCCTCTTTGGGGATGCTTCTTGTGTTCATGTTTAAGTCATAAAAAGGATTACTGGTTTCGAGTCACACTGGAATAGGGATACCTTTGGAAATTTGGACTTTATATCTAAAAGGATTTTCTTAATTGAAATACAATGGACATATAACACTGTATTATTTTTTGTTGTAAAGCATAGTAATTTGATATATGTATATAAGGCAAAGTGATTACAACAAGAAGTTTAGTTAAAATCCATTACCACACATAGAATTTTTTTTTCTTGTGATGAGAACTTTTAAGATCTATTCTTTTAGCAAGTTTCAAATATGCAATAAAGTATTGTTAACTATAGTCCCCATGCTGTACCTTACATCCCAGGACTTATGTATCTTATAACTGGAAGTCTGTACCTTTTAACCACCTACACCCATTTTACCCACCCCTCCCACCTCCCACCTCTGGCAACCACCAATCTGTTCTGTGTATCTATGAGGTCTTTTAAATATTTATATATTTTTTTTAAGATTTCCCATTTCAGTAAAATTATACAATATTTTAGTTGGCTACAAGTCAGAAAGTCTCAGTACAGTAGGTAACCTTAACTTGTTATACCTGGCAGAAACACAATTTGGATCCAAATATTTTATATAAACTAGTAAGTTTTATATTATTTGTATCTAATTCACAGGTAACATTTTTAAACGAATGCTATGTGATTTCTATTTGTGACTGTCTGAATGTTTATGTCTACGTATGTATGTTTTGTATATGTGATATTTTTCTACCTCTGGAAGGTATTGCCAAAATTCATAAAAGAGCTCTGCTTTAATTGGTTTAGAAAGAAATAAACACTTATATAAGTTATGTATTCCTAAAACTGTCAGAAAAATAGAAACTAACCCAAATTAGTTTTTTTTTTTTTTAAGTCCATGTGATCTCAGATAATGCTTGGTAAATGAAACTAGTTTAATATTTTTGGTTAAAAAAAAATAGGTATGTCCTGAAAGTTGTTGGCATTAAATGTAATGCAGACATACAATTTTATTCTACCTGGGTTTACTGTTCAAATGAGATTATGTTATCTCTACTTGTTGTTATGTTATCTCTAGTTGTTTAAAATTATAAAATTACAGGTTTATTATAAGGCACATGGTGACACGTTGGTTTCTTTACTTCTGTGACTTTTAATATTTTCCCAGCATGCATGTTACAAAATTTGTTAACAAGAAAACAGCTTTAGATGATGGCTAGTTTTGTTTAATGTCTCATGAAATTTTCATGAACAATTAAAGCATAACTGTTAAGAATATGTGGGTTAAATGGAAGTAGGTAACAGTTTATACATGAGCCTTTCTGCTTAAGAATAGTTTCCAAAATCTTTTGGGTATCTTAAAACTTTAAAGCTATACTAAGTTAAGTTAAATGATGGACATTCTTTGAATATCTAGATCATCTCCAAATAAGATAAAATACCAAAACATTAATTGCTAAATATAAGTTTAATTATATCTACTTTGGTCTCTTATTACAGACAGACTAAAGATATTCAGTTCTGTTAATAAACATATTATTTTATCATATTGAAAAATTTTACTGTGAAGAAAAGATGCCTCTAAAGATTATAAAATTGGTATAGTCATAAATTTTCTAATTTACTACAGAATGCTGATATATATAACACAGTTCACAATTGCTTACTTCCTTGTTTTCACTGGAAATTAAGGTTACCAAGGGTTAAGAATTCTAATCAACATATGTAAATTAGCTATTAGGAATAATAAAAATGAAGGAAAAAATTGTCTGCAAAGTATGCAAGAAAAGTAAGGCAGGATGTGAGAGATGAAGGATGCTTTTTTGTTAGGAAAAAGGAGAGTAATTTTGTCGTAAAGCAGTTTAAGGTTATTTAAAAGTTGTTTCAGATGAGGAAGAGGAAAATAAAGGACAAAAACCTAGATAGATATAGGGAGTTGTAAAAGGAAAGAGAGAGAAAACCTTTTCTCCTGTGGTCAAGCTGGCTAAATGAAATGTATTCATCATTAGGTTTTAAAATGAATTTTGATATAAATAGTGCACTGATACAGAACTGGAGTTTGGATTAATGGTCTGTTCTTAATATGAAATGGTAAAAAGTTTTTTTTTACCTGTTGAGTAATCTGCCTAGAAAACAAAGATTCCGTGTCTTAGAATAATTTTCTGTGCTTTGTGTTGTCTTTATTATGTTTTTGATTACTTAAGAAAACAAACTCTTAATATTGAAAGTGCTAAGTTTTTTTTTTTTATAGTCATGTGATCTTCTGTATTTGCCTTTGAAATCTTTTATTGTCACTTTGGTTAAATAGATAACCAAGTATTGTTTCATAGTGATCTGTGATCCTATTTAATCAGGTGTTCAAACCTTTTGATATTTTTGACAAATTTCCCCAAATAAAATTCTAAATGGAATCTTCTTTTACCTCAAGATAACTTTGAGATTCCCAGAGGGCCCTTGAAAAATCTCATACAATTTCTTCTCTCACTTGGTAAAATAGAGATGTTACACTACTTAGGTTTATTGGAAATGTTAAATTACGTGGGAAACATTGTCAGATGAGAAGGGATTTTGAACCTTCCTTAGGTTATATTTGTATGGATACATGATTTTCATATAAATGTTTCAGAAATTGTATAAAGTTCCTAGAAATTTGTCAGTATCTTTGCTATCCATAATTTGTCCTTGTTTAATGTTATCAGTCATAATTCCTGTCATTATAAAATGTTGTATGTCGTAGAAATGACCAAATTTGTCAAGTGTGCCATAATGAACTTTCATCAGATTTTTAACCAGGGCCATTTTGAAGTCTGTCATTCCCACACAGTTAATATTTTACACTATTCTTCCTGAAATGTTGTAGCAATCAACTACAGGGGAAAATGCTTCACATCAAGGAGATTCACAGAAAAGACTCTGACAAGTACTCTGGAGTACAGGTTACTGATAACATAAAAATCATGCCACTGGGCTGGGTAAAAATTCCAAAAACTCAAATGGAGAATGTATGATCAGGCCACTCAAGATGGCTGTTCTCTTGCTCTCTGTACGTCCCCTGCCCGACCAGTGCCTGCTTCACCTACACCCTACAAACATAAATGACCTTCCTACAGACTTGTCCCAGGCCCCAGCTAGGATTGTCCTTATCAAAGGGGCAGTGAGGGGCGTGCCCCTCGGCTGGTAACTAATGAGCCAACCTGAAGTCAGTTCCTCCTATAAGTGGCAATCTCTCCTTCCCCGCCAGGAGCGAAGATTGCTGCCGTGTCCTGCCCGCCTTCCACCACACACGGTAGGGTGTCACCCCAGGACCTTGCTTCAGACGTGTTAGCTCCCCCATCCATTCAACCATTGATGTCTCTGTCACTGATGCTGGGCTCTTTCTTCGGTCTTTTATTTATTTATTTATTCATTTTTTAATTTTATATATTTTTTTGGCTGCGTTGGGTCTTCGTTGCTGCGCATAGGCTTTCTCTAGGCGAGCGGGGGCTACTCTTCGTTGCGGTGCCTGGGCTTCTCATTGCGGTGGCTTCTCTTGTTGTGGAGCACAAGCTCTAGGCACGCGGGCTTCAGTAGTTGTGGCACTTGGGCTCAGTTCTTGTGGCTCACGGGCTCTAGAGTGCAGGCTCAGTAGTTGTGGCGCACGGGCTTAGTTGCTCCACAACATGAGGGATCTTCCCGAACCAGGGCTCAAACCCACGTCCGCTGAATTGGCAGGCAGATTCTTAACCACTGCGCCACCAGGGAAGTCCTCTTTCTTTGGTCTTAAAGCTGGGCGAGTGCAGTTCTTGTAGGCCTGTGGGGTGCAGTCCAACAAAGAACCTGATGAATTTATAAAATTGCTAACCCTAAATCAAGCAAAACAAGAATTAATTTCCTGGGACTGAATGAACTGATAAGGATGATTATAATTTTTCTGGCCTTTTTGTTTGAAACATCACTGGTTCTTTAATGTTTCGTTTTTCAGATTTAGGGAATCCTTTTTCTCTTTTCTTTTAAGCTATCTATAACTTACAGACATATATTAAAGTATACTTTTGTGAATAAAGATGAAATATTTACTTTTTCTCCCTACCTGATCCCTCTAGAATTTGGAAGCTTTTATTGAATATTCTTGTTTTCATGGTAATATAATTATTTGCATATGTTCAATAAGAATCTGTTGTCCTGGGAATTCCCTGGCTGTCCAGTGGTTAGGACTCTGTGCTTCCACTGCAGGGGGCACAGATTTGATCCCTGATTGGGGAACTAAGATCCCACATGCCAAGGGGCAAAAAAAAAAAAAAAAAAAGACTCTGTTGTCCTTGTTTAACAGGACACAGTTTGAAATATTGGTTATATTACCAAGGCTTTGACTGGAATGGCATATTTGAGAACTAAGGTTCACTGTATAGAGCCAGTGCTTCTAAAGCCCTCTTGGAATACCCATCTGATACCTGCTTTACAGGCTTCCTGGTCTTACAGCTAAGAAACATTGCTTCCTGGAAGGCCCAGGAGCCTTAAAATACATTGGGAACCCTGAGAAAGGAGGAATTCACCCAAATCTACAGGTACTGCAGATGAAGACTGATGGTAAGTTCTTGGCTTGGCTTCCTATCCTCAAGAGGCTTTTAAAAATCTAATCTGAGTTCCCTTATTTAAAATTCCAGCAAAGCAGACTTAAAAGAGCCTCAATGGTCAGTTACTTATTCTTGCTGCACTTATGTAAATAATCAGGCCAAGTTCAATGAGACTCGATTTTTTTGCAAATTAGTCTTACTTTGATTACCTTTGATAGAAATTGGAGTGATTACAGAGGGAGATGTTCTGTTTCAGTGAAAAAATACAGCACATCCTTGTGGGTTGTTTTGTACATTTTGTCAGTAATTAACATTTCTAGTTTTTCTCTCACCTTTCTGACTTGGCACCACTGAGAACTAAAACCTGACTGCCCTGTTCTCATTAGGACTATCTAAAAGGGCTCTACAAACTAATGCCAGATGCTTCCATGCTTTGCTCTGAAGAATAACCATGACTGTGACACTGATATACATGCCATCACCAAAGACATTCAAACTGAAAATCAGGAAATTGGAAGTTAGATTGTCACAGCCATCCTCTCTCCACCATCTAAATATGCTTTGAGTCCAACATCTAGAAACCTTTTTGACTGACGTTTCCTCTGGTCCTCAAAGCTGGGTTTATAATTTGCTCCACCCATGAACCTTTGGGTTTTTGTTTGTTTTGTTTTGTTTTAACAGAAATGCCTTTTCCCGGGGTGGGGGAAGAATTTTTAAAGGGCAGAATGAAGGGTACCAAAATGTGCCTCTTTGGCATATGAATTCTTTTGAGCTAAAGGCAATTGAGAATCAGCAGTTGCAGGAAAAGCTCTTTACCTCCCCCTAACTGCCTAAAAATAGAGTAAAATTTCCCCTTTTGTGCAGGAAATTTACATTTAAAAAGGCAATTCCTACTTATGTCTCTTACCAGAGAAAGAGCTACACCAGAGACAACTCTTATCATCCAAGAGACTTATCTGCATAGCGAGACAACCCTTATTTACCTATGGTTCCTCCCTCCCCTTTCCTTAACACGCCTTCTCCACCCAGAAGCCCAGACTCTTGTCTTTTGTTTAGCTGAAGATGGGTATATAAGCCTCAATCTGGCTGTCTCTGAGTTTTCTTTTCCTTGTAAATCTCTATGTCTGTGTATATAACCATATCTGTTTGTTTGGTTTTTTTTTCCTTCTCTCTTTCTAAACTGTTTCTTATTAGTTTAATTGGAGAGCCCAGCCAGTGAACCTAGGAAGGTAGAGGGGGAAAAAAGGGTTTTCCCCTCATAGCCAAAGACCCTGGAGATGAGTGAGGCCAGGGTATCTGAAGTAGTTCACAGGAAGTGGCTGATATATACAGATAGTAAGTGATAAACATGGGATTCAAGCTCTGGCAGCCTGGCCTCAAAATCCATCCATTTCATTGAGCTTGAAGTAATCTTATTAAACTCTTTGGTAACTTCTTTTTTGTCAGTCTCTCCAGTAAGCCTCTTGAGGAAAGGGCAGTGTCTATCTTACCCACCATTATATCCTCAACATGGAACACAGTGCCTGACCCAAGGAGATGCTCAGTAAATATTGTAGAATGAATGAATGAAGGGTCCCTACATGAGAAATGGATTTTAAGGGGCTATTGTCCATGTCATTATTCAAAGTAAAAACACTATTTGAGTTACTAAATGGACAAATGAGAAGTACTGATAAGTGAAGGTAATAGACAAGAAGGAAATGAGATGGATGATGTAGCTTGCTCAAATTGTTTTCCAGCTCTAGGAGTCTTTGAACTATGGAGAACATCATTAAGGAAGCAGGAAGGAAGCAAAATCAGGAATTCCTTAGGAAGTTCAAGAAAGGAAATGTAGAGAATCTGGTACATTGTATGACATAGAAGAAGTTATGTAAAGAAGATTTTTGAAACTGTGAACCTATAAATGGGTTACAAAAATCCAGGAATCCTACACAATTTTACACAAAAACACATTTCTCTATATTCAAGCGCAAATTTCCAGGCAATGGTTTCTCTCATATTTGGAAATGAATCCGTAACCTCCACGTGGTTAGGAAACACTAATTGATTACAACAAGTATAGGTAATCTAGACACACTTCCTGTTTTTCAAATGAAGAAATCAAGGCCCCCAAATGTTATGGGACCTGATGAAGTTCAAACAATCAGTTAGGTGACAAAAAGGAGTGGGACTCGGGTCTCTCAATTCCCTACCCTGTATTCTTTGCTGTGCCTCAATGCCTCCCTGAAATTAAGTCAAATACTGTGCAAAGAAAAAAGAAAAGTTTAATTTCTTGGAAAAAGGAAGAGGAAATCCATAAAGACTGATCGCAAAGGTAAAAGCAATAGAACGATAAGGCTGGAGGAGTCCCGAGGTGCACCTAATATTTCCCTGATTTCAGGAGAAACACCTCTAAATATTCTGGAACGTTTGTTTTTCAAGATGGTTAAGGAGGGCTTCCCTGGTGGCACAGTGGTTGGGCGTCCGCCTGCC